AATAAAACTATTCAAATATTCAGATTGGATAGATTTGATTTTATTAATCATTGGGATTATAAGTTCAATAGGAAATGGAATATTGCAACCTGTGATGTTACTTTTAATGGGAGATGTAATCGATAGTTATATCTACACTTCAGAATATAACATAATAATAGATGAAGAAGTTAATCATATGATTGTTGAAGGAGTAAAAGAATCAGTGAATAAAGTAGTTGTGAAGATGGTATATTTTGGAGTAATAAGTATGGTATTAAGTTTTATGAGAACATTTTCATTGTTTGTAGTTTCCCAAAGAGAAGGAATTAGACTGAGAAAATTATATTTTAAGTCATTATTAAGACAAGATGCAACATGGTATGATTTCCAAGAATCAGGAGAATTAACAACAAGAATAGCAACAGATATTAAAAATTTTCAAGATGGAATTGGTCCAAAATTTGGAATGATTTTTCAAATATTCTCAATGACTATTACAGGTTATATTATTGGATTTATTAAATCATGGGATCTAACACTTGTACTGATAGCAACAGTTCCATTATCTTCATTTTCTTTCACAGGTTTTGAAATGGTTGCAATGAAATATGAAACAAAAGCATTAAGTGTGTTTGGAGTAGCTGGTAGTATTGCAGAAGAAACAATAGGAAATATTAGAACAGTTCAATCATTAAATCAAGAACATAAATTTAGTGAAGAATATGAAGAAAAAATAAAAGAAAATGAACATTTTAATGCAATTAAAGGACAATGTTTTGGAATAGGATTTGGTTTTAGTACTTTCTTTACGTATGCTACCTATGCACTTGGAAGTTGGTATAGTAATATTGCTGTTAGAGGAAAAGGAGGAAGTAAAGGAGTATCTGCTGGTGATGTATTAACAGTGTTTTTCACTATATGGATGGCATCTCAAACACTAGTAACAATTACAACACCATTAAACTTATTATTTTCAGCACAAGCATCAGCTTATAAAATATTTACAACAATTGATAGAATACCAGATATTGATTGTCAATCTACAGTTGGTGAATGTCCTAATGAATGTAATGGGAATATTAAATTTGAGGATGTTCAATTTGTTTATCCAACAAGACCATCTCATCAAGTATTAAAAGGACTTAATCTTGAAATTAAGAAAGGAGAAACAATTGCATTAGTTGGAACATCAGGATGTGGGAAATCAACTACTATTCAATTAATTCAAAGAAATTATGATCCAAATAGTGGAAAAATAACAATAGATGGAAAAGATATAAGAGAATTAAATATTAAATGGTTAAGAAATCAAATAGGAATAGTTGGACAAGAACCAATATTATTTGCAGGAACAATTCGAGAAAATATTATACTTGGAACAAGAGAAGGAGAAACATTAAATGAAGAAGAAATGATTAAATGTGCTAAAATGGCAAATGCACATGATTTCATTTCTAAACTCCCAGATGGATATGATACAATAATTGGAGAAAAAGGAGCATTATTATCAGGAGGACAGAAACAAAGAATTGCTATTGCACGTGCATTAATTAGAAAACCATCTATTCTTCTTCTTGATGAAGCTACATCAGCACTTGATACACAAAGTGAAAAAATAGTACAAGAAGCACTTGACAAAGCATCAAAAGGAAGAACAACAATTATTGTAGCACATAGATTAACAACTGTTAGAAATGCAGATAAAATATGTGTATTTCATCAAGGAGAAATTATAGAACAAGGAACACATCAAGAATTAATGGAATTAAAAGGAACATATTATGGATTAGTTAAAAGACAAAGTATGGAAGAAGAAGTTGATCAAGAAACAGTTGAGAATGATTTAAAGAAATTTAGAGAAGAAGAAGAAGATAAAGAAATAGAAAATATAATTGTTACAGAAAATCAAAATGATGAAGAAATTGTTAATAAAATTAAAGAAGAATATGAAGAAGAAATAAAAATAACAAAGAAATCAAATAGATTTTAATAATAAGAATTATGATTGAACAAATGAAAATGAATTTTATTTTTTTTACACTTGCTACACTTGGTGGAATTGTAGGAGGTGCAATATATCCATTTTTTACAATTAAGTTTATTGATTTAATAGTTGTGATGATGGAGATGAGAGAAGGAGTTGATCTAACAGATGAACAACATCATACATTAATTGTTTCTATCATTTGGATTATAGGAATTGCATTTGTTGGACTTATATCACATTATTGCTATGTTGGATTATTTGGATCATCAGGAGAACATTTAATAGGAAGTGTTAGAAGAAGAATGTTTAAATCAATTATTAGTCAAGAAATAGGATGGTTTGATAGAAAAGAAAATAGAGTAGGTTCATTAATTACACGATTATCATCTGATCCAACAAAATTAAATGGAATTACTGGTATATTTCTAGGAAATATTGTTTACATTATTTCTTCAATGTGTTTTGGATTTGGGTTTGCTCTTTATTACAATTGGAAGTTAGCACTTTGTGTTATTGCTACCTCTCCAATCCATGCACTAATTTTATTTGGTGATTATAAGTTTAATTCAATGGAATCCTCTCCAGCAGAAAAAGCATATGAAGAATCAGGAGTTACTCTTGTTGAAGTAGTTGAATCTATGAAAACAGTTCAATCATTAACAAGAGAAGAACACTTCTTAAAATCTTATTCATTAAATTTGAAAAAACCTTATAGAAATATCTTTAAATGGGCACCATTACTTGCTTTAGTGAATTCACTTTCATACCTGTTGTATTTTGTTGTTGATGCATATGGGTATTATCTTGGTGTTTCTTTTTTGACAAGGGATATTAATTATAAACAAACAAGTCAAATGTTTTATCAAGAATTGATTGATAATTATATGAAACTTCAGAAAGCATTATCATCGGTTATCTTTACAGCTGAAGGAGTCGGGGAGTTTGGAGAAATTATGCCAGACATTGGTAAATCAATGAAAGCAGCAAAGCATTCATATAATGTTATTGATAGAATACCTAAGATAGAATCACAAGAAGTAAATAGTGAGATAATTAATGATATAAAAGGTGAAATTGAATTCAAAAATGTTCATTTCAGATATCCAACAAGAGTTGATAATGAAGTGTTAAAAGGTATTTCATTTAAAGCAGAACAAGGAAAAACAATTGCATTAGTTGGAGTATCAGGATGTGGTAAATCAACATCAATTCAATTAATTGAAAGATTTTATGAACCAACAAATGGGGAAGTATTATTAGATGGACATAATATAAAGGATTTAAACATTCAGTTCTTAAGAAATCAAATAGGATTAGTTGGACAAGAACCAGTGTTATTTGCTGAAAGTATTATTGATAATATTAAAAGAGGTATTCCTAAAGGTGTTGAAGTAAATAATGAACAAATTTATACTGCTGCTAAAATGGCAAATGCACATGATTTCATTTCAACAATGCCAGAAGGATATAATACAATGGTAGGAGATAGAGGAAGTCAATTATCAGGAGGACAAAAACAAAGAATTGCTATTGCACGTGCATTAATTAGAAATCCAAAAGTATTATTACTTGATGAAGCTACATCAGCACTTGATTCAGAAAGTGAAAAAATAGTACAAGAAGCACTTGACAAAGCATCAAAAGGAAGAACAACAATTATTATTGCACATAGATTATCAACTATTCAAAATGCAGATAAAATATGTGTTATTATGAGAGGAAAGATTGTAGAACAAGGAACACATCAAGAATTAATAGAATTGAAAGGATTTTATTATACACTTGCTATGCAACAATTTGGAACAATGAATTAATTCAAATAAATATTAATTAAATGTTCATTTTAATGATATAAAAGTATTTCTTTATCTTTTAAAACATATTGTAAATATAATAATAATTAAATGGTAATAATAATATACTATAAAATCATATAAACATATTGTTTTGAATAATGTTTTATTAGTATATTTTAAAATAAATATGATTATAGAAATTGGAAACAGATAAATATTATAATTTCAAATAAATACACTAAATTAATGAATTTGAATATAAAAAAAATATTTACAAGAAATTCAGAAACTATCTAACTCTGTATCACTTGATTTAGAAATAATAGTAAATTGGTAAAAAAGGGAATTAAATTCAAAGAACATAAACATAATATTAAAAAGAAATTAATTAAATTAATTAAGAAAATTAAAAAAATTAAAAAGAAATAACAAAAAACTTAAAAAAAACACAAAATAAAGATAAATGGAGAAGATTAATGATTTGATTAATCTTTCATTATTAGAACAAAATGTAACACAACAGACTGAATTTAAAATGATTAGAATGATTAATTTTATTAAAGAAATAAAAGAAAATCCACCAGATACATATTTAGATTTTTTAACATTAAAAATTAATCTTTATAGTGCAGTGATTTGTTTATTTACTTCAATTATATTATTAATATTAATACCATTATCATATAAAAGAATAAGAATTATTCCATCAATATTCTTAATGTCTTTAGTTTATCTTTCACTTATTCCAATATATGCATTTGAAATGCCTTTAGAATTGGTTGATTTATGTAAAGTAATTACAGTAATTTTAGGAGGATTTACAATAATAACATTTATTTTTCTTAATATCAAATTAAATTGTTTTGGATATTTTGGATGTTTAATAATAAATAATATATTCCAAATGATTTATTCTTTTGTAGATTCTGATATAATTCTACTTCTTCCAATTATTTTAATTTCAATATACTTCTTAATTACATTAAAAAATAAATTCTATAAAACTATTTCATTCATTATATTTCTTAATCAATTATTTTTAGTTTGTTGATTATTACTTTTAATTTCTTTATTAATATTTGTCTAGATTATTAAAGAAGTCTTTCCTTTGGATTATTCTATTATTTACCATCTTATTCATATACCAATTATTTTTATTCTTTGGGATATTTTGATTTCATTACCAATACAAGAAACACAAACTAAAACAAAAAAAGAATAACCATTAAATTAACTCACATTGCACGTGTTAAATTTATTGCTTCATTTTTCAAATATTCTAAATAACTTTGATTTATTAAAGTCATATCTCCTAAAGGTAAAAACTTATCAAGATGAGCTAATAATTCATCAATTCTTTCATAAATATTTGATAATGTATTTGTTTTATATAATTTACGAAGAATTAACACCCAATTATTAAGGAAATTTTGAGATGCAAATATTGAATCATAATCATGAAGACCAAGTGTAATAATAATTCCACCAACTTCACAATAAATAATTTGAATTCCTTCAAATTCTTCTTGAAGAGATTTTAATGAAGAATTAGAATATTCTTGACTTTCAATACAATATGTTGAAAATTTCATTGTATCTCCATTTACAATTCCTTCTCTTTCAATATCACTTTTTAAATGAGCTATAATAATTTCCATTAATGCTTCTAATTTTCTTGCTTGAATATTAGTTTGATAAAATTGTGAAAAATAAATAGTATTTCCTTCAAGGTTATGATGAATAAGGAATCTAACCATAATTTAATAGAAAACAAAATAATTTTTTAAAGATGAGTTTCAATTTTTCTTTGTTTTTAATAAATTAAAAGAGAAAAAATTATTCAACAAATCAATCAAAAATATGAATTACTCTTTTGTTATCTAACAATTCTATATGTTTAATTTATTCTTTATTTTAGTATAGGGTACTTAAAATGAATAATAGTAGGTAGACCAATTAGATTTGAATAAGTTGGTTGTTTTTTTGTATAATATTTTGATTCAAATAATTGAGATGTAGATATATTGAATTGTTCAAGGACAGGAAGTTGAGAATAAAGATATTTTTTTAAAGAAAGTGGAATAGATGAAGTATCTATAAATTGTTTAAAAGATTTAAGACAATTAATTCCATCATTAAATTGTAATAATTTAAAAAATATTTGTGAAATTGTTTCAATTACTATATTAAGTAATTGTAAATCTGTTATAGATAATGGTTGATTAAATTTTAATAAACATATTTGTAATCCATTAAGAAGATTATTAATTTCATTTAATGATTTACTATTTTTACATAAATCAAGAATAATATCACTTATTATTCCTATTTCTTCTTTAATAAAAATTGGTAAAGAAATAAATGAAATTATAGTTTGAACAATTTCAAGATTATCTATAATTATTAATATATTATTATTATTATTTTTTTTTTTTTTATTTAATGATTATTAACAAACTATGATATAAAATTAATTGATGAAGGATTTGGAAAAATCCATCAATTGAGTTTATTGAACATTCAATTCCAATAGAATATGTATTTGTATACCATTGAGCTAATTGACTTTTAATAAAATTATTAAAATCTTTTTTTTCATTTGGATGTTGTATAATAAAAAATAATAATGATAATGAAATTGTTTTAAATCTTTCTGATTGAAAAATAATTGGATCAATACTTTTTATTAATTCTTTAAATTGATTAAATGAATATATATGTATTAACATAATATATATTAATGAATCAATACATTTTTCAATTGAAATAACATTTAATATTAATGAAAGTGTTGGAAATGAACATTTTATTAAATATTCTTTTTCTAATCCTTCACCTTTACAAATATTATTTGGTTTTTTACATAATCCTGAAACAATTTTTGTTTTATTTTGTTTTTTAATTAATTTATTTACTAATTCTGGATGAATATTCATAAATTCATTAATATTTCCTCCAAATGATTCTTCAAAAATTTCTTGAATTTCATTTTCATTTAATATTTCTAATATATAAATACTTTCTTCAAAAATTATTTCTGACATTTTAATATTCCAAATATTTCCTCCATTATTATTTCTTAATTTCATTAATTTAGTAATCATTTTCATAATAATCATTATTTTTTCTTTATCTTTATTTATAATAAGATGTTTTAATGTTGGTTGAATAAAATGTTTTAAAACAGTCCCAATTGATATAATTCCTAATTTAATTAATAAAATAATTTGATTCATATTATTTATATTAATAATTATATTTCCTACCATTTGTTTACATACAAATACAGGTAATGGAATTAATGGAATTAATTCACTACAAGATTGAAAGAATTTATCAAATGATGAAATATTTTTATTTAATGTATTTATTAATGTAGTTAATATAATTTTTGTTTTAACAATTTCATTAGTTATTTGACTAACTTGTTGAATAAATATTGAATATTCTTCATTAATAATTGAACTATCATTTATTATTTCAGATTTAAGTGTTATTTCATTAATTTCTTGCATTGTTTTATTTAAATAATTTTTAGTTCTAATTAAAACTCCTTTAGGTGTATCTATATAATCTAATAATAATGTAATTAATATCATTGCTCTTCTTTTAAGATGATTTTCATATTCATTTTTTTTAATGATAGAATAACAACAAATAATTAAATTCATTATTTTAGGATGATAAAATATCATAGAAATATTTTGTATTAATTCTTCAAGAACTTCATTACATTCTTCTTTTCTTTTTTTAACCATTGATGGATGTAATAATTCAATAGCAATACAAACAAAATGATACCAATCTTGATTTTTAATCATTTGTTTAATAGGATTTTCTTTTTCTTTTATTTTATGTAAATTATTTAAAAATTCCTCTGTTTTAATTTGACATTCTTTACAAATTAATGTTAATAAATAATCTTCATTTTTTTCTTCTTTCTTCTTAAATTCATTTATTCTTTTCTCTCGTTCTTTTTGTCTTTCAATTTTCTTTTTATCTTCTATTCCTTTTTTACTTTTTGTTTTCTTTGTTTTTTTTCTTGATTTTTTTATTATTTTTCTTTTTCCTTCTTCTTCAGATATTTCTTCATCTTCATCTAATCCTGTTTCAATAATACTCATTGCCATATATTCTTGTCTTGTTTGAATAAATTTATCATTAGTAAAAATAAATTTAATAAATATAATTGCATTTTCAGGTGTTATTGTTACTAATTTACTAAATAATATTTGAAGATCTAACATGTTCAATTCAGCTAAATCTGAGAAAATAATACAACGACGTGTTAGATTTGGTTTATCTAATGAAGTTAAAGCAATAGAAGTATAATCAGTTAATTTTAATTCTTTTAATGAACAGAGAAATAAATATCTTCTTTGAAGAAAATCCTTTCCATTAACTTCTACAACCCAATCAATTACATTAGATGGAGATAATGTAGGAATAAGATGATATTTTTTCTTAATAAATAGATTTTCTGAAACTTTAAGATCACTAAATATTGGAATATGAGAATAAATTTTTTTATTTTGTTGTTTAGACAATAAAGGATAAGGAAAAAGAGTTTGATTAATAAGGTTGTAATAATAAGATGTAAATAAAAATGTATTTTTTGGAAGATAATTTGTTGATGTATGAATAATAAATCTAATTTGAGAAGGAGGTGGTTGTAAAGAAGGTATTAATAAAAGAATTTCTTTTATGTCTTTACTCATTGTAGAATCATATGAAGATAAATTTCCCGATAAATAATCTTTTAGAAGAATATTTGGTTGATCTAATGAATGTTTCCTACTTTTATTTGGTAATAAAAGAGTATTAGAAGAAATAGGATGATTTAATGCTATTTGAATATTATAATTTCTATACTCTTCTGACCTGATTATATCTCGTTGATTTGATCTCCATATTATATCTTTCATTAAAAGAGTTAACATTTCTTTACTCTTTTTCAATGAGTCAACACTCTCATTACAATCATATCCACTAATCTCTTCTTCAGAAACACCTTTCTCTCTCTTTTCCATTTGTATATATATAAAAATTATTTTCAGTTTTTTTTTTCTTCTTTTTCTCTTTTTAAATAATAACAATTTTTTATTTTATTTTGTTATATATATAACAATTTTTTATTTTATTGTTTTTATTCATTTTCACAAATCTTCATCATTTATTAGTTCTTTCTAAATTTATTATTCTATAAATAGATCATCTAAAAATATCGAGTCGACTCATAAATGAAAAAAGGTTCGAGTCAGAAAATGAAAGAAATGATATTTCGGTTTTAGTAAGTTATTTTTTTGTTATAATTAAAAATCAAAAAGTAATTATAATAAACCAGATTCTATAAAAGTATAATAATAAGCAATTATTAATCAATAGTAAATTATACCATCTAAAGAGCTTTGAGTTTATTGGTGAAAAGACAGGGGTATTGGTATTTAAGGAAGAAAAAAGTACTAAAAAAAAAATTAGTTGTCTAACGTAATGAACATGACTTATGGTGAAGTAAATAGACCTTTATCGTTTTTGTCTGGATATGTTATTTGTGTGAGTGGATATACTAATGAAGCCAGAGAATTATTAAAGAGTATGATTGAATTATGTGGTGGAATATATATGGAAGATATGGAATGTCGATCAGTAACTTTTTTGTTATCTACAAATCCAGCAAGTGAGAAAACAAAGCATGCTATAAGATGGGGTGTTCCTGTTTTGTCGCAACAATGGTTGTTTGATTGTTTATATAACCAAAGATTATTATCTATCAATCCATATCTTCTTAATGCGAAGAAGTAATCACTGTATCATTAAATGTGTAATAATTGATGTTTCACTACCTTAAAATCACTTTTTTTTTTTTCTCTTTTTTTCTCTTTTCGTTTTGTTGATTTTTAGGGTTTAATTATAATTCGTTTCATTATTTAATTTTATTTCTTTTTTCTATTATATTTCTTTGTTTTTATTTTTCATTTTCACTTTCTTTTAATGTTAAAATCCAAAATAATTAAATTATCAATTATTTCATTTCAAGTACTAATAATTTTTTTACATTGAATATTTGTGGATTTTCTTTCCCATCAAATATTTTTGCTCCATATCCTTTTTTGTCTTTATAATATTCTCCAAAATGTCCATCAATTGTTCCTGCTACATTAGAATTATCATCATCTGTATCTGCAACAAGAGTACAACACCCTAATGATGTGATAATTTTTCCATCTTTAGAATCAATACATAAACTATCTATTGTTTTTAATTTCATAGAAAACATTAATGGTTCTGTTTTACTTGGATTAATAATTGAAAACATAAAATGTTTAGTGTCATTTGTGATTTTATCTCCATAATTATTTAAACTCATTCCATTGTATGTACCAAAAACATTATTATCATTTGTTTGGACAATATACATTAATCGTTTTTTTCCACTAACAGTATTCATTAACATTTCATATTTATCACATCTTGAATCAAATATTAAATCAGCTTCCTTTGTTTTTGTCCATTTATTTAATTGTTCTAAATGATTATAGATTCCAATATCTCTTAATTCAGCTGATAATCTCATTTTAATTCCTGTTCCTTTCAATACATTTTGTGTTGATACTTTTTTATTAATCTTTGAAATTAATCCTTCAACTTTCTTTACCTCAAGTGAAGTAAATGTTTGTTGAAATACAATTCTAATATAAACTGCTCGTTCTTTTGATTCAATTAATTCATTTTGAACAGCTTTACAAATAGTTTTTTCATTTACTCTTCCTTTTTCTAACTCAATAAATGTTTCAAAATCTTCTTGATTCATTTCATTAATTTGTTTAGCAATTTCTTCAACAGATAATATATTATTTGAACCATTATAATTATATAATTCTTTCATACTTTTAATGTCTTCTTCAGTTATATTATATCGTTTTTTAATTTCTTTACTTAATTTTTCTGTTATAACATTTTTAACAAGATATAATGTACTCTTCTTTTTACTAGTTAAATTAAGGATGTCTTGAATCATTATATCAAATTGTTCTCTCTCCATTATTTTCTAATATATTGTTATTGTTATTTGAAATCGTATAATTTTTAAACTGTATTTCAGTAGAAATATAACAAACAATATTCTTATTCATATCATCAACTATCATAATAGTACATTTCAATATCTCTACAATGTCTTCAATTGAATTAGCGTTGATATATTTATTTTTGATAACATCAATAGCTTGTTCTATTTGATCCATTTTCTTTAGAATTATTTCAAATGAATATCTTTTTTTTTTTTTTTGTTTATCAATAGAAAAAAAATCTCATCTCAAATACATAAAAAGTTAATTAATTTTGTAATTTAGGGATTTGAATATGAAATAACAAAGAAAAATTGAATAAATACAAAGAATTTATTTAAGTTCTTTTATCCTTGCTTCGTTCTTAATAAGGTAGTTGTTATCTGCTTCTCTTTTCCTAATATTTATTATTTAATTCTTTTACTTTTGTTATTGGGATTTAAAGACTACCAGAAAACAAACTTTTGATTAATGAGATTCCAGTATGAAAGATATCCTGCCCTTAACTCTTTTATTCCCTTTTCTCCTTCTAAAATTGTTTTTGGTTTATTGATTACAGACTCATTGAATATTGGTGGTTTGTGTAAATATTCTCTAGAGATATATGGTTTGTCTGATGAAGTTGCTCCTTCTAGGACAACAAATTTGATATTGTCATATAAGCTCATGTAATTTTAATTTAAAGTTTCTTTTCTTTTATTTTTCAATAATAAAATAATAAAACAAAAAGAAGTTACTCTTCTTCAATTAATGTTTCTTTAATTCTAATGTAGTTTGTTATAACAATATCTGCAAAGTCAAATGGTTCTTGAAAAATAGAATAATTATTACATTTAATCATACACACCTTAAATCCAGCTTGATGAGCATTTATTGCAGGTATTGGATTATCTTCAAATACAAAACATTCATTTGGATTAACTGTTCTTCTACTCCTTTTCATTGCTTCAAAATAAATATCAGTAGATGGTTTTGGATGAAGAACATCGAGTCCTGTGACAATATCGTTAACTTTAATATTCCACTGTTTAAGATATTTTTCAATATGTTCTTTTCTACCTGAAGAGGCAATGATAATAGGGATATTGTTTTTGTGTAACTTTTCAATAAATTCACATACACCTTCTATTGGTTGTTGGCAATAAACTTTCTTTTCTGTTTTCTCGTTAAAATAAGATGCAAGTTCATCTGCACTTTTGTATTGTTGTCTTACATCTTCATAAGTTGTGTAATACAATCTGGCAAGGTTAAGCACAGATTGTGTCATTTGGTGTGCCCTTACTTCTTTTGGTGTTCTTGGTAGTTTAAGTTCCATTTCAAATTGATCAAATGTGTCGATCCATAATGATTCAGAGTACACAATTGTTCCATCAAAATCGAATATCGCCACTTTCATATCTTACAACTGAATAATTTTAGTTATAAACTTCACAAAAAGTCTTTTTTTATTATAGATTTACATTATAAAATACAAACAAAAGAAGGAATCATTAAAAATTATTTAAGAAGGTAATAAGTGGGAGATAACAAAGAAAACATCAATGAGATATTCTATGATAAAAGAAGGTATATGATTATGTGAATAATAAATGGATAATATTTAATGAGTTATTTTAATATTAATAATGTATTATCATATTTAATTGAATATATGTGAAATAGATGGTGAATTAAGATAGGATGTATTTATAATAATGATTTAGAGTATGTTAAATTAAAATATGAGATATTATAAATAATTCTATTTGTTGTTTATTATTTATTAAATTATCAGATTAATTAAATGATATTAATATTATTTCAATCAAATTATTGAACAATTTATACATAGTTAATTTAAAAATCATATGTGATTTAAAGAAATTAATAGAATTAGTCAATTAAAATATTAATGATGTAATTAAATGAATATTGATTAAAGTAAATATAAGAAATATTGAATAATTAGAGAATGAAATATTATAATAATTAATAATATGATTGAAATAATAAATGTAAATAA